TAGTGAGTATCGATACTTCCCTTACCTTGGTATCGGTACCATATGAACAATATCGATACTGTTCATGAGGTATCAATATTGTAAGAACAATATCGTTACTGCTTGTCCATAAATTTTTTTTGTGCTCAATTTCAAGTTTTTAGAACTTTGAATTATTTTTGAAAACTTTGAATAAATTCAATGCAAGTCCAAAAACATTGTGCCTTAAATTGTTATATCAAAACATAGTTCAACAATCTCCCCTTTTTATATAACAAAACATTTAAAAAACTGTTTTTGGCAAAACTCCCTCTTAATAAAATATTTAATGAAAAAGATACCAATTTTTGGAAAATATATGAAAATGTTTAGCTCCCCTTTTTTCATAAAGAAATTGAATTTTTCAAACCATATTTCTCCCCCTTTTTGTTATATAAACATAATTCAACTTTAAAGTTCTAAGATAAGAGTGGAGATTAAGTTGTAAATTTTGAAGTAAAATCATTTGAAAAATCAAAAGCCCCCCTTAAAAAATGCATTCCAAACAAACATTTACTTTAAAAACTTGACACTTAAACAAAATTGAATTTCAACAAAGAGTAACAAACATGTTAGTAACATATGAAATTCAATATATCCAAGTCTAAAATACTTTATACAATACCAATAATTGAAATTAAGTAATTGTGCATAAAGCTTTCAAAAAAAATGTTATACGTATGAAGAATTTGTTATCAATTGTTAGAGAGATATCTTTTGCATTTAAAACACATGCATAAACATTTAAATTTAGGTCAAAAATTTAAAATTTGTAAAATCAAAGCATTTGAAAAGTTGATATCAATTGTTAGAGAGATATCATTTTCATTGAAAATCAATTTTGACCAAAATTCATTATTATGAACTAAAAAATTATGAAAAATCATTTAAAAATTTAAAATGTTCATCATAACACATTTTTAACATACATGAGATGAAAAATAAAACATAATCATTTAAAACCAAAACTCATGCATGCATAAATTAAATGAGCAACCAAATAACCAAAATAAAAGCATTAAGGTTAGAGGTTACCATTCATTTTTCAAGTGTGGCTAGAGCATTTGAATATCTTCACTTTCATCACCATTGCTCCCACACACCTACAAGAGACATTTATTTGGATTTTGGTATCCAAATTGCTTTGGATCATTGGATGTTAGTTTCAATGCCCCTTGTTCCCTTGGGAACCCATACTTGTCTAATTTTAAGGCGTTTCCTTTCCTCAAAGGAAAGTATGTTCCTTGTGACCATGATAATGACAATGTGAGCATTTTGTCATTATTAAACTAGATGAATTATTCAAAATGATTTCTTTTTCTTTTGTTAAGCATTCAAGCTTAACTTTTAAATCAAAATTTTCTTTTTCAAAACTTTCAATTTTCATTTTTGAAAACTCTAAAAATCCATTTTAGCTTTCAAAACAAAATCATTTTCAACTTTAAATTTAGAAATCAATTTCTTGTGTTTGGAGTTTATTGTCTCAAACTCCAAAAATAATTCATCATACGCATCTTGTAACTCATTAAAAGAATAAGAATTTAATTCATTTGAGTTAGAAGATACCTCGGGCTCTTCACGAGCAATTAAGGATGCCACCTTTGTTGGTTCTTCTTACTTGTTTCCATGAAGTTTTTGAGCTTATTCCAAAGCTCCTTGGCAATTGAACAAGAAGAAACTCCTTCAATTACTTTGGGACAAATGTACAAAGCAACATGTGCATGGCCTTGGCCTTAAATTGAGATTTCTTCCGTTCTTGGGCACTCCACTCCTTCTTCTTCTTCTTTTTTGGAGAAGAGTAGTCGTTCTCGATCATCTCTTATGCATCAAGATCATTGGATTGTATGAATAGTTTCATTAATTTCTTCCAATGATGGTAGTTGGCTCCATTGAAGTATGGAGTCTTGTTGATTGGTTGAGAGTCTTCCTTGCTGAACGTGCCGGAGGTGGAAGCCATCTTCTTGGTTGTGTCAGGAATCGGTAAAGCTTCTTTAGGGATCGTCTCAAGGATGTTAAACCTTCTAAGGAGTCAAGTTCTGATATCAATTGTTAGGATTTGCGGAAGCACAAATTCATCAACCGAAAGAGTTTTCCAAGAGGGGTTGAATTGGGTTTTGTGATTAGGGAGTAAGGAGATTAGAAAGATAGACAAAATGCACAACGATTTATAGTGGTTCGACTTATCAACCAAGTCTACCTCCACTACCTAAGCTCCTCACTTAGGATTTTCTAACAAATTCACTAATTTGTTTTTTCTTTTTAAAGGATTAATAGATAACATTTACACTCCATAGTTTTTCACTTGGCTAAACTATAACCAAACCCTTTCTACAAAAGGAAAGATAATGTAAACAAGAAAACCCTTACAGGTAGGGGTTTACAAATTTAAGCTCACTAAAACAAAATATTTACAAGAGAATAGAAAAATAAGAATGGAAAATTCTTCTCTTGTGTTTAATTTCTTGGATAGGTGTTCTCCCCGTTCTTCAAGTGTCCTCAACTTGTATTTATATGTTGGAATGTTGCTGTGACCGTTTCTAGCCGTTAGGAGTGTTTTGGAGCCGTTGGGGATCAATTTTCGTGCAAAATAAAATTGCCCAGAAGAGAAGGTATCAGTACTCTTAAAGGGAGTATCGGTACTACCTTTATTTATATTTAAATCAGCTAGTTATTACTAGCCATTGGGGCCTGATGGTATCGATACTTTGCCTATGGTATTGATACTACTTTACATAGTAGTATTCAGTACCCCTTTGGGTATCGGTACTATTGTTGCATTATGGAATTTGAGCATTGCTGGTAGTATCGATACTACCTAGTGAGTATCGATATTTCCCTTACCTTGGTATCGGTACCATATGAACAGTGTCGGTACTGTTCATGAGGTATCGATACTGTAAAAACAGTATCGTTACTGCTTGTCCAGAAAATTATTTTGTGCTCAATTCCAAGTTTTAAGGACTTTGAATTATTTTTGAAAACTTTGAAAAACTTTGAATAAATTCAATTCAAGTCCAAAAACATTTTGCCTTAAGTTGTTATATCAAAACATAGTGCAACAGTTATAAATGAGACAAGATAGATCGTTGACTACTCGAGTTTGATTCGGTCAACACCCAAATTAGATGGACTCAACTCGAGCTCGAACTCGACTTGAGTTCTTAACGTACCAAAACGAACTACTTGATATTTGACTTGAAAAACTAACGAACAACTTGTAAAAATAATATATTATTTTCTAAAATTAAATTATTAATAATATTAACGTTATATGTTTTTCTTAAATATAATATAAGGCTCTCATATACTTAAGATTAATGTTTGAACTCGAATTTAAGCTTGAACCGAGCTCGACCTTTAGCTTTAGCTTCAGTTGAGCTAAGTCTAAAAATATTTTGAGTTCGAGTTTTTTTAAGCTGAAGTCAAGCTTCAATTATTGATTTCAAGTTGAGTTTCATTTTTTGATTTCAAATTCAAGTTAATCTTGATAATTTTAAACTCACAAAATTTCGAGACGAGTCAAACTCAATTTTAATTTTTTTAAGTGGAATCAAACTTAATAATATTGGAACGCAATATAGTTAGAGCCCTATATGTGAGAATGACGTCTTAAAACGTGAAATTGGAAGTTGAAAAGTCCAAGAATTGTGTGAAGCTTTAAATCAAGGAGGGGAAATTTCAACAGCACGGACCGACCATCTCATCTCATCTAGCTTTTCGGCAATTCATGAATCAACTCAAAATCAAAATTCATAAAAAGCAGTTGAACCAATTCTTTAGCTTCTTTTCTGGCAAAATAAATCAGTCAACCCCCACAATGAGAGAACCGCCTCAACTCCCGCCACACACTCCACCAACTCCCATTTAGGGTTCAACCATGAAAACCGGAAAACTCAAAAAATCGACTTGAATCAAGTTATACAATTTTTTTCGATTTGGAACTTTTATTTTGTAGTTCGGTTTTCGTTCGATTTAAAAATATACTTATATAATTAGGTTCAATCTCGATTTTTCTATATAAAAATTGTTTATTTCAAATCAAATATAGATTGAAAAAAATAATTATACATAATTAATTCATTTTGAATTTATTATAAGATAAACTAAACTAAATAAAATCTTAAAACTAATAATAATTTTTATGAATTTAAATTTATATATTTTTATATGAAAAAAATTATATATTTGTATTCTATTTAAGCTTTAGCTTTATTTTCTCTCGAGGTTGAGCTTCAATTTTTTTTGCCATTTAGTTCTATTTTGATTTTAATTTTTATGGTAAAATACACAAATGATCCTTCGACTATAGAGTATTGTTTTATTAAGTCTCTTGATTTTTAAATCTTACAAAATGGTCTTCCAACTATGGAATGTTGTTTTGTTGAATCCATTGACTATTAAAATAATCACCTGACTATTCATTATGTTCCAAACATGTCCTTTTTCGTCAAAAAATTGACGGCATTCTGAGCTGAATGTTAACATACTGACTGTGATATGATAAAATATAATCTTAGAATCTCAAACGAATATCATATCTCAGTCATCATGTTAAGGTTCAGCTTAAATAATCGCCAATTTTTTTACGAAAAAGGACGAGTTTGAAACATAGTCAGTAGTCGGGTGACCATTTTGTAACTTTTAAGTCGAAGAACTTAACAATGCAACGTTCTATGGTCAGAGGACTAGTTTGTAACTGTTACTAGTTGAGGGTCTTAACAAAGCAACATTCGATAGTCAGAAAACTATTTTATAACTTTTAATAGTCAAATGACTTAGTAAAATAATAACATATAGTTGAGAGACTACTCTACCCTAATTTTTAAAAACTCTTAAAATATGATTTGATTCCTATTTTATTAAAAATCGAATTCAACCGAACACACACCTGATCCCAACCACCAACCCCCAACCCCATTATCTCAACTCTTATATATAGAACCCAGGAACCGTAAGACATTCATACATAATCAGCAAAAGAGAGAGAGATGGGTCGAGTATCTTCAACAAGCATTGCAAAGGCGGAGAAGGTTTCTTGGTACGGCGCTTTGTTCATGGCGGTGATGCTGCTGCTCATGAGCTGCTGTAAAGAAGAACAAGCGAGCGAAAGAGAAGCGGTGCTGCGGCAGTGGAACAAGGCGTGCGATGAAATATACGTGGTGAGGGAAGGGGAGACGCTGCACACCATCGGTGAAAAATGTGGGGATCCTTTCATCGTTGAACAAAACCCTCACATTCATGACCCTGATGATGTTTTCCCTGGCCTTGTTCTCAAGATTACCCCTTTCAACAAATAAACCAGTTTTATTATACCCAACTGGTTGCTTTGTAAATTGTTTTAGTTAACAGCTCGTTCTTAACGCAATGGTATTATATGTAATCTGAGTTGATAATCTCTCGACTTTCATAATCAATATGATTACGAAGTACAAAATAATATATCTTTAAAATTTTCTTAGCTTATTGAATACACATATATTATAATTACAATTACAACAGTTTAAATCCGGATTTTTTTTATAAAAAAATACAACACTCTTTTATTATTTAGGTCATCTTCAAGAGGTAAAATCATGGCAGTAATTTAGACGGATAAATTATTTAATTTAAGAGGGGCAGTCCAAAATTTATTTTGGAATCTACAAGATTTATTATAATGGAGGGCGGACTAGTATGGGGAGTAATGAGTTTTAAATTTAATAAAACTAATCATTTAGAGATGACAAAATTCTAATGGAAATATATTTTATTAAAACGTATTATTCTCGCCTGACGAATTTTAAATCATTGTAACAATTGTTGTATGACTAATTAATTCTGGAATAACTATTCGGGCAGTATTATTGGGGCTAATTCTATCCATCATCTGGCCTTGTTGAAGTATATTTGAGTCGTTTTAGTTTCCATCTCCAACGAGGATGAAGATGGGCCTGCTGGTCTCCAGTAAGTAGCCCAACTATTCCACCCCAGAAATTGCCGAAAGGGTCTTTCACCCAATTCCCCCACAGCAAATGGGGATATAAATTAACAGAGAACTGTTCGTATAATGTTCGTTTGTTAAGCTAAATAAACAAACATGAACAAACAAATTTATGTTCATTTTATAAATGAACGAACACGAACAGAGTGTGTTCGGTTCGTTTATGTTAACGAACAAACTCGTTTATCAACTCGTTCATTTATGTTCATGAACAAACTCGTTTACCCGATTCTCTTTTTCCTTTAATTTTTTTACATTTTAAATATTTGTGAAGATAAGGATTAAATAGAACACATGATAAAAGTTATATTTTAAACTATGAATTTTAAGGAGTTTAAGCACCAGTGACATAATTTAATCATTTTTCTTTAGCTTGCAAATGAAATTAAAAATCGAATATATAAACGAATGATAAACAAACATTAAAACAATGCTAAACGGACACTAAATGAACACTGAATGAATGATAAACGAACTTGTTCATGAACACGTTCGTGGACATATAAATAAACACGTTCGTGAACATTAAACAAACACTAAACAACATGCTCATGAACATATAAATGAAAACGTTCGCAAACATTAAATGGACATGTTCATGAACAATAAATAAACGAACACGAACACCTTCAAAAATAAATCAATGAACATGAACATAATATTGAAAATTGAAACGAACACGAACCTAACACGAACACTTTTAAAAATAAATAAACGAACACGAACATATCATTGTTCGTTCAAGCTTAGTTCATTTAAACCCCTAACAACAAACCAACTCCAATTGATTTTAGGATAAACTACATATTTAGTACCTAAATTATTATTTTTATTTTGTTTTAGTACTTAAACTTTTTAAACCATACCTAACGCTTAATTTAAGTTTTCATTTGATATTCACTGTTAAAAAGTTAACAGAATTGATGATGTGATATTTTTATTTTTATTTTTTAATGTTGATATGACATCATCTTATGTTAACACGTCAAAATTACCGTTAAATTTTTAACAATTGGTACCAAAATGAAACTTAAACTAAATGTCTTATATGATTCTGAAAAAAATAAAATTTAATATAAAAAATGAACAAAACTAATAATTTAGACCTAAACGTTTAATTTACTCTTGATTTTAAGATTTTGGTTTTTTTTATCAACAACAAAAGTTTACTTGCAGTTATTTTCTTCTTTTGTCTTGCCACTCCTCATTGAAGAAGCAGTTAAGAATCTTTTAAAAAAATATATTTAGAATAGTTGTGATACTTATTTTTAATTTCAAATATTTTGAAGTTAAAATAAATATTTTTAAAAATAACTTAGAATATTAATGTGAAATAATTTAATAAATTAAAAAATTAAAATGGTATGGTGGTAAAATTTAAAAAAATTAGGAATTTAGAATGTTAGAGTAAAATAATTTGAGAATTATGAATAAATTTTTTAATAAATAATAAATCTAATATCAAATCGACGGTACCCAATTAAGCAACATATTGTGATCCGGGCTCAACCTAAAAACACGAAAAATAACAAGCCGAGTATCCGACCCAAAAATCGAATATTTTTATTATAAATACCAGGTATTTTTAACGGATTGACAGATCGACGGATCAGGTCAATCGAGTAGAGTATTTTTTAATACCCCAGTTAAGATTCTCTGTTGGAGTTCAATTCTTAACTAGTTTATGCATATTTCTATATAAAATTTATTTTAATGAAGTATTATCTTCTTTAAATAAATTAATTTTTTATTTTAATTTATAATATATTATAAAAGTAAGGTAAATCATTATTTAGAGAATTAATAAATTGTAATGATGATTATTTATTAGTACAAATTATAAATATATAACTTTTATATATTATAATATAATTTAAGTGTACTTTAAAGCACGAACTAAATGATCTCGATAATAAATGAATTGTTGTTATTTCTAAAGGTCTCGAATTCGACCCCACAAATGTAAAAAATAAGAGCTTTAAACCAAAGGCTTTATATTTTTTACTGCGTCCATCTCAGTTTTGGGGTTAAGTGGTACGCGCTTAACCCATATTCAATTTGCAGATAATCTGATTATCTTCTCATAAGCGAATAAAGTTTTAGAAGTGGCGTCAGAATTAAGTCTCAATCTAAAAAAATCAAAGCTATTTGAAGTAAATATTGAAGATTACTGCGTCTGCGATTGGGTCGATCTAAATAAATGTGGTTGAGATAAATTCTCTACTACGTACTTGGGTCTGACATTAGGGCATTTGAAGAACTCTCCTGATTTGTGGAAGCCCATGATTGATAAATTTAATTCAAGACTCACCGGGTAGAAGGGGAAGTTCCTATCATTTGGCGGCAGCCTAACTTTGGTTTAGTCGGTGTTAGCAAATCTCTCCGTTTACTACTTATCGCTCTTCCAGATGCCAGCTTCGATCGTTGTAAAGCTTAATAAAATCATACAAAAATTCATTTGGGGGTACGAGTGATGGAAAAGCCATTCACTGGGACAACATCTATAAGCAAATAGTTTATGGTGGGTTGGGTTTCTTTGATCTTCCACTTCGAAACATATCTTTGCCAAAACTAATAAATTAATCACTAACATTATCAATTTATAACAAATTGATCACTAATATTATCAATTTGTATTAAATTTGTCATTCGACGTTAACAACTGTCAACGTAGGTGACAGAAAGTTGAATTAAACCGTAAACCGCTGTCAAGGTATAGAAAATGGAATAAAACAAAGATAAAGAAAAGCTCTAAACAAAGTTGAATTAATGTTTGAAATGCATATGATCCTCGTCAAACTCAACCAACTTCTAAATCTAGTGCATGACATCAACTGATTCTTAATTCCCATCCAGGGGCTATAAATCACAAGTATTGAGACTTTCTTCATATGATGACCATAAATTTACAGATAACCCACGTAAACTACATTCTTATGAGCAAAAAACACATACGACAAAAAGTTCATGAAAATGTTACGACAAATATTATGAAAAAAGTCTCTTATCAACTTCCACGTAGTGTCCAGTCATTATGGTTTATATACATCCCTAAATCATTACTGGCACTAAACCAAGAAGCTTCCGATTACACATGACAAAAAAATCCTACATAAACTTAAATTATCTTTGAGGTGTAGTTTTAGTAAGCTACCACAAAACACAACAATCTTCTCCTGGATTACTGTTACAGTTATACAATAGCACCTTTATTACCAAAAGCTCTTGCTTCACCCTGTAATACTCTGCCCCTCATCTCTACCAGGTTTTGATGAACTATTTTTCCTTCTTTTTTCTCTACTGAGTCGCCTTGAGACAAGCTAAAAACCCCAAAGCTCTCCACAGAAACGTGAGCAATCTTCTTCATGCAAATGAAGGTTAAATATTATACCACAAGAATCCTTATTTTGCTCACAGATCGTCAAATCTATCAAAAGACCAAACTCTGGTGTTTTTTAGTGTCGAAGAGGCTTTGTTGAAATCCCCGTCTAAGTTCCCTTACTTCATGCTCGTGGCCTTTGAAGTCGAAGGGTTGTTTAGGGCTTTTCTTTCTCTTTGTTTTAAACCCATTTCTATGCCTAGACAATGAAGAGATGGGGTTGAAGATGATGATATTCTTTTTTCTTTGAAGCAAAAGGAAGGAATTATATTCCAATAGCATCAAAGAGAACAACATGTTTAATACATTCAGGTTAGTTCAGGAAAAACCAAACTGGATTGGGGTTTGATAAGGCCCATTTAACGAGAGAATGAGCCGGCATCTCGGCAGACATAGTGGACTTTAAAGGAAGAATTTCCATTGAGCAGCGAGTGGGCCTCATTGAGCAACAATCCGATAATAGAGAGATCCTGGGTCTTGTTCGAAGTCTTGTTTACCAGTCAATTAACCACTGAGATAGCATCTCCTTCAATGAGGACGTCGCACCATCCATTCTCGACCACAAAGTTGATTCCCTGGGTAAAAGCACATACTTCTGATGACTCCGCAGAGTTAGGGGGGTCAGTTTGTCTAGCCACACCTCCTAGGACCATTCCATAGGTGTCTCGAGCCACAATGCCTATAGTTGCCTTTTGTGAATTAGAACAGAAAGCACCATCCACATTAAGTTTAATCGAGCCCAGGGAGGGTAACTCCAAGTGCTGGTTCTAGAGAGGGTGATCCTCCCACAAGACCCGAAAACGAGGTTGTTGCCTATTTAAACTTGCCGAGGAGACTCCAAGCATTTGTAATTACATCTCTGTCCGGATGGAGCTCAGCATCGTGGATCCATTTATTCCTGTGATTCCAAATATTCTAAAGAAATGTGAGGAATAAATCAAATCCATCGCGGTTCAGCTT